GAAGGGAGAAAAGGAGAGAGAAGAGAGAATAAAGGTTGATCTCTCTCTCTCTCTCTCTCTCTCTCTCTCTCTCTCTCTCTCTCTCTCTCTCTGTCTCTCTCTCTCTCTCTTTCTATTTTCGCTTAATATCATCGCACTTCTTTAACCCTCACTCGGAATATCCTTTTCCATCGGAGCACGACCTCAGATTTTTATCTTTTCGTCGAGTAACTTCCCCTCGACCATGGTCAAATTTATATCTTTTTAGTCGTTCGGGAATAATAAAACACTTCATACGTTTATTTTTGTTTTATTTTTTTTATTGTATCTTCTTCTTTTTTTTTCTTTTTTTTTCTAACTGGTTACGAGTACGATATATAAAAGAAATAGTATTCTCATTTCTTTCTTTCCATTTCTTCCTTATTTCTCTCTCCCCCCTCTCTCTCTCTCTCTCTCTCTCTCTCTCTCTCTTTGTGTGTGTGTTTGTGTTTGTGGCTATTTATGATAATTTAAATAGTTGCATGCAAATCTATTTAAACGTTCGTTTACTCAATAGTCGATCTTACCGATTCGATTCGATTCGATTTTCGATTCAACTGGCATCACCCCTCTCATTTTGGTTCACATTAAAGCCACGTGGCTAGTTCGTGATAGCTCGTCGATTATATCCTATGTACCTTTTTTCTCAATGATTATCGACTTTTTTTCTTGTTGTCTTTTCTCACTCTCCTCTCTCTCTCCCTCTTTTTTTTTTCTTTTGCTCTCTTCCTTATTCTTAAACACAAATGTTTATCAAACGAATAAACATTGTGTATTATAAATGTTAGGAAGGATTAAAATCAACGATGACCCAGTAAATTGTATATATTTAGTATCATAATTACCTCGTACGTATTTACATTAATTTCTCGGTTGAATATTGCAGAAGCATCAAAGTATTACTTGGTAATACGAAAGGAAAAGTCATACATAATTTGTGTTAGTTGCATCATCATTACGTTATTACGCGTATTGGTAATTATTTGATTCCGTATTAGCTACGCGTGTAAGTACTTACCTTTGTCGCATAATAGTTTGTCCACCGTATATAACCTCGACATAATTGCCGATTACATTTGAACGCTCTCTCACAGGATATTACATTTATATAGTATCTATATATATATATATATATATATATATATATATATATATATATATGCATACATATATATGTACATAACTAATATAATATATTATATGTGACAGTCTATGTACAAGTGTATAAATTCGTATTATCCTTTATGCAGATTGAAGTAATTACGATCGTAGCCAATGTGTAGAGGTCGACGAGCGCGTGAGAAAGCATTTAATACGAAATCCTCTCTAATCAAATATTCATAAGACGTTCGTAGAAAGGTAGAAAGATTTGCAATGGTAGAGTGGAGTCCTTGTGTTGATCGTAAAATTAGCAGGTATATTTCGTAAATTATATCTATAGCTTTCGTATAGTACAGTAACATTTTCTTTTTTTTTTTTTTTTTTTTTTTTTTATACATTTTATATATAGATGGATATAATATTTCGTATAACGAAAAAAAAAAAAGAACAAAAAAAACAGATGGATATTTTATATGAATTTTTAAATAAATATAATGCGTTTAGTTTGTGATATCAATTCTTTGCTTCCATCCTTTTCTTTCTTCTTTTTCTTATAAATATTATATAATTGAACGTATAGAAAATATCAAATATATATATATATATATATATATATATATATATATATATATACATAAATATTTAATTTATATCTTTGATATTGTAAAATCTGAAGGCACGAAACAAGGTATGATTTTCCTCTTAGTTGGTTACATTGACCAAGTAAAACGAAATACGACGGAACGCTCGAACGGCAAATTTGTTTCCCGAGGGAGAGAAGGAATTGTAGAGGAAGACGGTTTAAAGGGCTTTCAAGGGTGGTAGTACTGGTAGTGGTAGTAGTAGTGGTGGTGGTGACGGTGGTGGGTATTCTCGTAGTAACAACGACGCGATAATATACGTTCGGGTGGAACTGACAAACAAGCCTCGTAACGGATTTTACGTGCAAGGCAATTATCAGAGTTGTCAGGCAGTCGGTTTAACGCCTCCATTTATGTGCGTGTAAACGCGCGAGCAAAAGCGAACGAGCGAGCGAGTGAGCAAGCAAGCAACCAAGCAAGCAAGCAAGCAAGCAAGCAAGCAAGCGAACAAGTCGAACGAGAGTCTTTGAAACGTAACACCAATAATAGATATAGTATTGGTGAGCCAATGAAATGTAAAAGCCGGAATACATTAATCTAGAAGCCACACTCGGTCCTCATCGTCGTCGTCGTCATACTCGTTTCTAATGACACATGACGATGCATTACAAAATAATATTTTATAATCTACTAGGACCATACTATACTACTAACAACTACGATCATAAATTCAAAACTCGATTCAAAGATTACAATATGTATTCTTGATTATCATCCTGCGAAACGGAAAGAGAAAGAGAAAAAGAGAGAAAGAGAGAAAGATACGCCTTTTCGTCGTATGTTCATTGATTTTTTTATAAGAAAGAAAGAAGGAAAAAAAAAAAAAAAAAGAAAATTAAAAAATACATGGAAAAATTTCATACATATTTTTAACTCGATTATCTTCATCGCGTTAGTACATCGTTCGATCGCTAAATTTCTCACGTTTCTCCAATCAAATCGATCGATGATAATTATTTTCTCGTAATACTTGGACCTAAATAAAAACAGAGAGAAACAAAGAGAAAGAGAGAGAGAGAGAGATTTTTGATCATAAAAACGAATCAGTTTGGCCACGAACATTTCCGCACGCTATTCGGCCGTTAGATATATATCGACGATTAAATATAACATTAATAAAAAGAAACAGAGACGGACAGACGGTACTGCGTCTGCCTTTTGAGAAAATTCTTGGTTGTCGGTATCACGGTTCGGAGGGTGTGAGAAGGGAAGATTCGACGTGTCCTAATGGAATACAGAGTGCGACCTAATGCACGGTCTAAAGAATATCTAATTATCTAACACGTGACCTGACACGTGTGGGAAGCTCCCGCCGTTATTTTCTGATTCATTTATTGAGGCCGTCGAGGAAGCTAGAGAAATAAAGAGAAAGAGGAGGAGTAAAAGAGTCTGGGGCCTCTTCTCGCTATCGCCCCCCCCCCCTCCCTCATCCGAAACCCACCCCTTGTCTTCCCTTGCCACCACCCTCCCGTAACCCGCCCCCCCCCCCCCCACCTCACCTCACCTTACCCTATCCCTCGCTCCTTCCCTTCCCTCCTTCGTGTGATATTTTGTAAAGTTTATTCGAACCAAGCACGGCGGTGTGAAACGTATGCTCTATTATTAAAGTACTCGGCACGCGTGTATATACCTGCGTGTGCTTCCGCAGTGGGCTTACACGCGTCGGATCGCGTTCAATACGGCACTTAGTCATTCCCAACGATAACCGTTCATTTTCTTTTGGCTGTACCGTATCACTTAAAGAACCTTTTCAATGTACCTTTTAAACCGATAACGTATACCAGACGTTATTATAATAGGTATACGTTGATTAAACCCTTAAAAGGTTATTATGACTTAAAACTTGATTTAATATTATCAAGGAAAAAAAAAAGAAAAAAGAAAAGAAAAAAAAAACAGAACCAAAAAAAGAAAAAGAAGGAGAATAACAACGTAACGATTGATACGTAATTCATATTTATTCGAACTGTCATTGCTAATAAAAACGTCATAAGATTCTTATAAAATCAATTTCTTTTTTTTTTTTTTCTTTTTTTTTTTTCTTCTTTTCATTCGATCATATACACGCAAAATTGTTTTTACGAAGATATTGTTGTTTTTTATGATTATCATCGATCTCAAACGAGATAATCTTCCAAACGTTGTATTTAATACGTAGTTCTTTTTTTTCTCTTTCTTTCCTTTTTTCAAAGATCTTTTTTTTATTATATCGAACTATTAAAACCGATGAGAATTATAGTTGTATTGTTTTAATCTTTAGACGTATCACGCGTGGTAAATTTGTCGATTCTACTTTTAACAGAAGCGTTGAATTTTACGTGATAAAAGAACACTCGAAAGATATACGTACGTCGTACGAGTAGTTCGAGTACTTTTCCCATGATCCCTTTTTACCCTTAACGATATATTATTTGTCATGGCTGCTGCATACATATATACAAACAAACATACATACGTACATACATACATACATACGTACGTAGCTGTATAATATTCAACACTCTGTCGATCAGCACGACAACCATTAAGGAAATTCAACGACTTCGTGACGCACTTTAATATTTACTATTACATCCCTCGAGTACTACTCTCTATGAGTACGCGTATAGTGATACGCTTGAACGCCATCGTTCGCGTCAATATGCTTCGATCCTTTTTCCATATATATATATATATAGAGATATATATATATATATATATATATATATATATATATATGGGAGCGGGGAGGGATCAATGAAAGAAAGCAATTGAAAGAGTAACAGAGTAATAGAGTACCAGAGAGACAGAAATAGGGAGAGAGAGAGAGAGAGAGAGAGAGAGAGAGAGAGAGAGAGAGAGAGAGAGAGAGAGAGAGAGAAGGGGGGAGAGGGGGGATGAATAAGGGAAGAATGGTGAAAAAAGACGGGGGTTGAGTAGTTACATGGCTAACGAGTGGAAGAGTCCTAGGTTGAGTATAGGCCGCGCGAATCGAAAGTAGAGTTAATTGATCGGAAGTCTTGAGGCTGCACGTGCCGGTTTCTCTTCATTGTATAGAGCGTTGTGTTGTCTCCTCGAGATCGACGAATTCGTCTACTCGACGTTATATACACTCGATATTACACGAGAATAAATATACATATGTGACGATGAAATTA